ATTTGGGCCTAACCCGGGGGGGGGGGGCAGCTAGCATAAAGCACACACGTGGCGATGGGGCTCAGGCGGCTTGTGGCAGAAAGATTTATCGTAAAAGGAAGTGACATAGCAAGGAGACTCATATTTAAGCGAAGGAGAAACAGGAAGGGCCCCTTTTTTTCCCATTTGCCTCCTCCAGCGGCAGGATGTGAGCCACCGGCAAGGAGGGACGCCAATAAGGCGTTCGATAAGATAAGTCTTATAAAATATATAAATGTATGATAATTGAGACTGAGCTAACAGATGAGAATCCTAGTCATTGGCCAAGCAGCTTTGAACCTAATACAAGTTTCTGTGTATTCATTTGGGCCCTAACTCAGGCAGGTGGCTGGCGACTAGTCAGTGATAATGTATTTGCCTAGCATGCCTGAGGTCTTGGGTTCCAGCCTCTGCCATACAAATAAGCACAAATGAATCAGGAAAGAAGCAGGAAGCCAGGTCTGGTGTTACATGTCTTTAATTTCAGCACCAGGGAGGCAGTCTCAAAGATGATGAGCTCTAGGTTGGTCCGGGCTAGATCAGCTTGTTAACTCTCCCCAAGAGAAGGAGAGAGTAGGAAAGGTCATAAGTGTGTCTCCTGAGATTCCAGTCAGTTCCTCCTGTGCAATTTCTATTAGCATGAAGTATTGTCCCCAATGCATGTGTCTTTGGGAGCTGGGAAATAGTATATAGACCATGAATGTTTAACTGAATGGAAAGGGGGCTCCACCTATGTAGCTTTAGGGAAGTTGTTATCTAAGCTGGGGTGATTCTTCTCCAGTGATGGGATTGTTTTGGGGGTCACTCTCACTTGTTGGTGTCATTTTTCGTGTATTTTTTGCCCTCCTGTTTATTTTCGTGTTCGGTAAAAATGGAATATCTATTGCCTATGTTTTTTGGGAGTGTATTTATCTTGCTTGGGTTGGAGTTTTACTTCCAGAACTTGCTGTAGTGCTGGTTTTGTGGATATGTATTGTTTAAGTCTGGTTTTGTCATGGAATATCTTGTTTTCTCCATCTATAGTAATTGAAAGTTTGGCTTGGTACAGTAGTCTGGGTTGGTATCCATGCTCCCTTCGTGTTTGTATATCTATCCAGAAATTTCTGGCTTTCAAAGTTTCCATGGAGAAGTTGGGAGTGATTCTGATTGGTTTGCCTTTATAGATTTCCTGGCTTATTTCCTTTGCTGCTCTTAATATTTTCTCTTTATTCTGTATGTTTGGGGTTTTGATTATTATGTAGCAAGGGAACCTTCCCATATAATGAGACTGATGACTACTTTTTATGCCATCCTAGAGCCACCATCCAGTGGCTGAGGGAAGCAGAGGCAGACACCCACAGATATACACTGAACTGAACTCTGGAACCTAGTTGCAGAGAGGGAGGAATGAAGATCAAAGGGGTTGGGACCAGGTTGGAGAAACCCACAGAATCAGCTGGCCTGTACAAGGGGAAGTACATGAACCCCAGACTGGTGTCTGGGATGCCAGTAGAGGAGTGATCCAGACCCCTGAACATGGATGTCAATTAGAAGGCCTCTGCATTCTAGGTGGCCCCTGGTAGTGGATTAGTGATTTCCCTGGTGTAAGAAGAGACTTTGAATGCCCATTCCAAGTGAAGGGATGCACTCTTGGCCTGGACACATGAATGAGGGCCTAGGCATGGCCCAGGCAGATGTGGTGGACTTTGACAAGCCTGTGTCTTGGGCCCTACCCAGGCTGGGTAGTGGAAAGTGGATTGGGTTGGGGGGTAGGTTAGGGGTAGGAGGTAGGGGTGGTTGATAGGGAGGGGGAGAGGGAGAAGGGATGGACATGTGAAGCAAGCTTGTTCCTAATTTGAACTAATAAAAAATACAAAAAAATAAAGTCATTACAGACACTGACGACCCCCTATGGAAGGCCTCACCCTCTCTGGGGAGCAGAAAGGGTATGAGATAGGTATGGTATGAGATAGTTGGGGTAGCACAGCAAGAGGGGAGGAAGAGGGAACTGGGATTGACATGGAAACCAATATTGTTTCTAATTTAAATTTAAAAAATGGTGACAAAAAGAAAAAAATAAGTCTTTAAAGAAAGTAAAATAATTATAAAATAAAATAAAAATAAGCCATGTAGAGATCTAGTGATATCCACCTCCATGCCTGTGGCAATGACCATGACCTTTTGGTGATAGGTTTAGGTTTGGGGCTAGAATGCTCTCTCTAGCT